GGCCTGCTTGCTTTGCTCGGCGCTATGCGCGTGCCACCCGTGCCCGACGGTCCCTTTCTGGGAACCCACGTCGTGGTCAGCCTTGCCAGCGGCGACCGCGAGACTAAAATGACGGCCGCCGGTGCAGCCAGCGCGCATCGTGCGAATGCGGCGCAGCGCGGCGACCGCAAGGTTGAAATAACGGCCGCCAGTGCAGCCAGCGTGGGTCATGCGAAGGCGGCGCGGCGGGGTTGGGCGTGTCTTGCGCAGTGCCACAGCGGGCACCTGCGCAAGGCGCCCGGGGCGCAGCGGCGCGCAGCGCAGCGGGCGCGCAGTCCGCCGACCAGTGGGCGCGCAGAGGCGTATCGCTCCCACAAACGAGGCTCGCGCGGTGGCGCTGCCGCATTTAATTGAGTGTTTGCAGTCGCTGGCCCCAGCTCGTGAAGCGAGGGACATCGTGCTGGCTACGGCGATTTTGCCCGCCAGCGGTTTCCGGGCCATCGAGGACTTGGTCGGGGCTTGCGCGGTCGACCTGAGTGGCCAGGGGCGCCCTCTCGGGCCCGGCTTGAGTTCCATCCTGGCTGAGCTCATTCGCCTCGCCGAAGCTAGGCGGCGGACCGCAGGTGCATTTCTCCCGGGGCCTGCCAATCGCCGCGAGTATCATTGTTTTGCAGGCACGCGCAACGGGGCGCGACCCGCGGCGGCGCCGCGAAGGTCTCGCAGCCCAGTGCGAGGTGAGGCGCGGCCGCTGTCGCCAGCATCACTCGGCATCTCGGACACAGTTGAGGTCGCCATCGCCGCGGCAACAGCCAGCGAGGAGGATGTCACCGCACTGGCGGAGTTGTGCTCAGGCGAGGGTCCGCGCGCCGCTACAGCATCGCTGCAGCGCCAACTGTGTGCGCCAGCGGCGCGCGCCAACTGGGTCGAGCGGGAGCGCGTGCGGTCGCTGCTAAGATCATGCCCCCGGTCCATCGCAAGCTTGCGGAGCGGGGTACGGCGTTGGAACGGGTTCTGCCAGGGCGCCTGGGCCTTGGCGGTGCCCAGACCCCGCCCGCCCTCGATTCTCGTTTGGCGCGGGCATCGCTCTTTCGGCGCAGCGGGGCGTTCTCGAATTATCTGAGCTTCGTGCGCGCAGTGTGAATGCTCTGCCGCGCGAATGCGGCAGAGTTCGATGCGCCCGAACTGGCGCGGGCTCGCACCGCTATCAGGCGGTTGCGGGGCGCGCGGGGTGGTCACGCCCAGGTCGCGCGGTCTGTCGGCGCGCGCAGGAAGCGACGACAGCTTGAAGATGTACATTCGGCGCGGCGTGGTCGCGCGCATGCTGTAGTCGGCTTTGCGCGACGCTGAACTGAGAGAGACGCAAGTATTGCGTTCAATGGCGTGTACTTCCCCGCTGCGCCCCCATCGGACGCAATCCCACGCGCGTGGGGTGCGAACGAGCCCGCGGGCGGAGTGCAGTCCTGCCTATCTGTCGCCAGTGACGAGCTGCGGCTGCGATTGGCCAGCAGAAAGAACGCGCCGTCGGGCACCGAGTTGGTCCGCGGCTGCTGGTGCGCAACCCAGAAACTTACCCAGTGCGCGCGGAAAGATTGCGGCGTCGCGTGCCCCGGGGCATCAATTATTTAATCGCTTCGCTCATTCCGCCGGCCCATACAGTCTCATGTCTGCCGTTTGCCCGAGGGCCTGGTGTCAATGCGGCGCTTTGGGGGTTCCTGGGGCCGCTTGGGGCACTCCTGGGGCGCTCGGGGGGGCATTTGGGGGGCCTCCTGGGGCCGCTTGGGGGACTCTTGGGGGCCTCCTGAGGGCCCCGTGGGGGCCTCTTGGGGCCTCTTAGGGGCCTCGTAGGGGCTTCTTAGGGCCGAGGGCTCGAAATGTTGTTTCGTGTTCCCTCTCTGGGGCCCCTTTGGGGGCGTTCTTGGGGCCCTCTTGGACCGTTTTGGAGGCTTCTTGGGCCGTCTTCGAGCCCTCTTGGGCCATCTTGGGGCCCTCTTGGGTGCCTCTTGGGCCCTCTTGGGGCGATCTTGGGGGCCTCTTGGGCCGTCTTGGGGCGTCGGGAAGCCGAAAAGGTGGAAGCTCCAAAATCTCTCAAAAACCTATGGAAAAACAATGATTTTTGCCTCCGGGGGCCCTATTGGGAGTGCTCTTGGAGGCCTCTTGGGGCGTCTGGGGGCTATCTTGGGCGTCTTGGAGCGATCTTGTGGCATGTCGGACCCCTCGTGTACCATCTTGGGGGCCTCTTGGGGGCCTCTTGGCCTTTCTTGGGGCTCTCGGGGACGTCTCGGAGCCCTGTTGGTGCGCTCATGGAGCGCTCGGGGGGACCCGGCCGGGACCTGGTCGGGGTACTTTTCGTCCGGGGACCCCCAGGGGCCGCCCCGCGCGCGCGAACTAGAAAATTGTTAACCAGTTACCGGAGATCTTAGCACGCCTCTGGCCCGTTGGGCCGGCGAATTCTTGAGCTTGGCGCCTAGCAGGGCGCTGCGGTCCCCGCGGAGAATACTGGCCATGTTTTCTGTCCCCGAGGCACAGCTGCATCGGTCTCACGACCTGCGCCGCGGCCGCGCGCAGGCTCGGGAACCGCGCCCGTTCGCGCGCTGCGACCGCGGGGCGCGCGCAGGACATGCTTGACGGTGGCAGTCGCTTGGGGGCGATCTTAAAAGCCGGGCAGTGGCGTTCACCGGCTTTGCTCCAATAGTTCTCAGGACCTCGAGTCCGGCGCCGTACTGGAGGCGCGACGCGTTCCGCATTAAGGCGGTTCGCAATGCATTCGTTGCTCGCAGGCGCATGTGGGCGAGTCTTCCAGCAGCGACTCCTTCCGATTCATAAGTCCCGGCGGTGCATCGAGCTGCAGCGTACTGGGGCGTCTTCCGCGAGGGAGGTCCGCGCGGCGTCGCGCCTTGTCTCACCCCTGCATTCGCGCGCAGCGGGGGGCGGTGCGCCTCTGGAGCAGGCGCCGCCCGAGCCACCAGGGCCACGTTCTGGCATCGGGTTCTTCGCGCCCCTGGCGTCTCGGGCGTCGCTGCGACGCGCGTCGAGGCGACGCTCGGGACGCCGCGCCCCATGTCTGGGGGGCGGCCGTCTCCTGGGCCGCGGAGCGGGCCTCGGCATCCCTCTGCCCTCCCGCGGCGCGCGGGCCAGGCATGTGTGATGAGCCCGCAAACTCGGGGACAGTGCTCGCATTGTCGCTGGGTTTGTGGGCCGGCACGAATGCTGCCCTTGCGTCTGCCCGGTCCCCTGCCCTCTCCTCGTCCATGGGGCGGGGGGAGGGTCGGGGTGCGGGGCCGTGGGTGGGGGGGATGCTGGTGCTGCTCTGCCTGTGCGGCTGCCGCTTCTGCTTTCTTGCGCTCTCCCGTCCGCGGTCCGCCCATGTGCGGCCGCTGGCCTGTTGGCCAAGGCTGCGGGAGGTGGCGGGCACGTGCCCCGCCGCGCTGGGCCGCCGCATCGTGGGCCACGCGGGGCTCGTGGCGCGCGCGCCGCCCATGCGACGCCGCGTGCCGCGTTTTGACCCACCCGCCCGCGCCCTCGGGGTTCTTCGCGCCCCTGGCGTCTCGGGCGTCGCTGCGACGCGCGTCAAGGCGACGCTCGGGACGCCGCGCCCCATGTCTGGGGGGCGGCGTTCTCCTGGGCCGCGGAGCGGGCTTCGGTGTCCCTCTGCCCTCCCGCGGCGCGTGGGCCTGGCATTTGTGCCGTAGCGCGTCCCCTTGGCACGTACCGCGGTGCGTCGCCATGGCACGTCCCTTGGCACTTCGCTTGGCGCGTCCTTTGGGATGTTTCGCGGTGCGTCCTCCCTTTGTTAATTCGCTTTGGGGCAGTTACTATGTGCTCAGGCAGCTCGAGCACAAGATCCAGATCACTTCGGTCAGGACTCGGATGCAAAGGAGGAGTCGATTCGCAACATTTAGAGCACAACCGCGGCATGGCAAATCGCAAGTCAGCACGGCGCAGCACAGTACAGCCATCGGCACAGTACATCAATATCGATAAGGTAAGCATTGCAATGTGGCACGGTCCTTGGCACGTTCCGTCGCGCGTCCCGCGGCGAGTCCCCCTGGCACGTCGCGCGGCGCATCCCCTGGCACGTCCCGTGGCACGTCCATTGGCACGTTCTGTAGCGCGTCGCCATGGCACGTCCCGCGGTGCGTCGCCATGGCACGTCCCCTGGCACGTCGCCTGGCGCGTCCCTTGGGACGTTCCGCGGTGCGTCTTCCTGGCGTATGGGGCAGCTACGATGTGCTCAGGCAGCTCGAGCTTAAGATCCAGCTCAGTTCGGTCATGACTCGGATGCAAAGGAGGACTCGATCCACAACGCTATAGAGCACAATCGCGCCATGGCATATCACAATTCAGCACGGCGCAGCAGAGCGCAGCCCTCGGCACGGTACATCAAGACCGATGCAGTCAGCATTGCAACTTGGCACGTTCTTTGGCACGTTCCGTGTCGCGTCCCGTGGCGGGTGCTCCTGGCACGTCGCGCGGCGAGTCCCTTGGCATGTCCCATGGCACGTCCATTGGCATGTTCCGTAGCGCGTCCCCTTGGCACGTCCCGCGGTGCGTCCCCATGGCACGTCCCCTGGCACGTCGCCTGGCGCGTCCCCTGGGATGTTCCGCGGCGCGTCCTGCTGGCATGTCCCCTTGTCAATGAGCTTTGGGACAGCTACGATGTGCTCAGGCAGCTCGAGCTTAAGATCCAGCTCAGTTCGGTCATGACTCGGATGCAAAGGAGGACTCGATCCACAACGCTATAAAGCACAAGCGCGACATGGCACATCGCAACTCAGCACGGCGCAGCGCAGCAATTTTTGAGACGTTGCCATGCCTTACATGTCTGCATTCCTTTCCGGGTTTGTGGGTCGATCATGTTTTTTTGGGGGGTATCCCGTCGGTGAGCCCCGCCTCTAGGGGCCAATGGCGTTGGCCCACGGCCATGTTGGGCTCGAGTTTCTTGCCGTCAGGGGAAGCAGCACAGGACGCACCTCCTTTAGGTCACCGCATCGCTTCTTTTCATACAAGTTCGAATCAGACTGATGATCGCGCTGGTGAAGCTCGCCTTCGCGCTCATGGCAGCCGCGCGGGCAAACGAGGAGGATTTCGACTCCAACCTCATGCAGTTGGCTGCGGTGGACCAGACGCAGCTGGAGATAAACAAGAGTTCAGTCACTTGCTATTTCACGATTGACAATTACGTATACGGCGTGTATCTGGGCAGTACTGCTCTCAGCGCCAGCGGAGATTGGAACAGCTGGGAGGCAACCAAGACTGTCACTTTCACTCCAAACGGGAATTACTTGACAATTTCTGGTAATGACCAGGAGGGAACTATGTGCACGACTGGTGGCTCCGCTATCGATTGTACCAATGGTGTGAATGGGAACTCAGGCTGGCAGGCTTACGGTAGTGGCAGTGCCATTGATTACAGTCACCGAAGGGGCGGCGGGAGTTCGTGGGGCTCTCCTTCCAGTTCGGCAAGCGGATTTTATTTGCCCCACAACTCAGGATCGCCCAAAATCGGAGCTTGCTCGCAGCACGGTGCTTACCGATACGACTTTGGGGGGGCGACGCCGTACCCCACGCCCTACCCCACGCCATACCCCACGCCGTACCCCACGCCCAGCCCGACGCCCAATCCGACGCCAAGCCCGACGCCCTACCCGACGGCCTTCCCGACGCCCTACCCGACGGCCTTCCCGACGCCCTACCCGACGCCCTACCCGATGGCCTTCCCGACGCCCTACCCGACTGCCTTCCCGACGCCCTACCCGACTGCCTTCCCAACGCCCTACCCGACGGCCTTCCCAGCGCCCTTCCCCACGCCCAGCCCGACGCCCAGCCCGACGTACCCTCTGGGCTGGCCGACGCCGCACCCGACGTTTCCTCCTGGAGCTCCCATGGCGGGCGGAGCCGGCGGTGCGGCTGCCACTGGCGACCCCCACTTGCAAAATGTTCTTGGCCAGCGGCTTGATTTGATGAAGCCGGGCAAGCATATTCTGGTGAACATCCCCCGTGGAAGGCAGGTAGGCGCATTGCTTCGCGTTGAGGCGGAAGCGCGCCAACTGGGTGGACAGTGTGCGGATATGTATTTCCAGGAGTTGAATGTCTCAGGGGTTTGGGCAGAGGCAAAACACGCTGGAGGGTATCACCACGTTGCGTCGCAACCTGTTGTGGGGAGTCCAGAATGGGTTGCTTTTGGTAAGATTGAGCTGAAAGTCGTTCACGGACGCACGCAAAGTGGCTTGCCGTACTTGAATTTCTATGTCAAGCATTTAGGGCGAACAGGTTTTGCAGTCGGAGGCCTCTTAGGAGAAGACGATCACGGCGACGTAACCATTCCACTGGAAAAGTGTAAGGGGCATGTGTCCCTTGCGGAGAGACAGAAGTCGGAAGAGGCTTCAGTTTCTGCGGCGAGTTTCGATTGACAATGCTGGTGAGTGCTTGTGTTGTTCCAGAAAACAGCAGCAGCAACAGCAGCAGCAGCGCCATCATTATCCTCATGACTGCAGTTTGTGTAGTCGTCGCCGCCGTGTTTCTCTTCGTCCCTCAATTCAAGCGCTTCCCGCATTCCTCCGTAGCCATTTTGGCTCAGGGCACGAGGCGAGCGCCACGGAGGGGCCGCTTGCCTGCGCCGTCGAGAGATCCTCGGAGTCCGAACCCCGGCCGTGCCAGGGCCAAGCGAAGAGCCATGGCCGACTACGCCGCGGTCGCGGGGCTTCGGGCGGCCGCGGACGCCGGGGCCCCGGGGGCCAGCGGCACCGAGGCCCCCGCCGAGGTGCCGGCCGCCGACCGAGGGAGGCTGCCGCGGCGGGCGTGCGTCGTCGCCGTGTGCTGTACTGCGGTGGGGATGGCGCTGTGGTGCGCAGCAGGCAGGGGCCCGAGCGTGTGGGCCCGAGCGCGGGGCCTCACGGGAGAAGAGGGTGCGAACAGGCCGAGCCATCGCAATCTCACCCTGCACCCCGATGCGGCGGAGAATCTCGCTGGGATGGGGACATCTGGGACTATCAACGACAGAGTCGCCGAGATCTTGACGCACGACTGGTCGCCAGTCAAGGGGAAGAGTTGCTGGCGCGTCGGCTTCGGCAGCGGGCACTTCCCCGACGGCAGCACGAGCGAGGACCACGGGAGCAACCGCACCTTGGACGCGTGTCTGAAAGCGTGCATGGAGAACGATTTCTGCCACGGAATCACTGTGGAAGCAGGCAAGAATACGAGTGGGCCGTGTTGGCTGCTCCCGGAGCTGGTGCTCGACGAGTGCCAGGGCGGCCCCTCCTACGACACCTACAGGCGGGGCCCCATCCCGGACCGCATCGCGCAGATCCAGGAGATCTCCGGCTGGAGGCGCTATGCGGGCCTCAATTGTTACCCCGGCTCTGGCAGCTGGAATTTCCCAGAGATCACCGGCACCCACTTCCAGACCTACGCGGGGCGAAAGATCACCGTGAACGAGTGCATGATACGCTGCGAGCAGGACCCGCTGTGCGAGGCCATCGTCGTGGCCCACCAGGACCGCGCGGCGTTCACCCCCTGCCAGCTGCGCCATCTGGTGGTGCCCGGGTCGTGCTCCAAGAACGGGGCGTTCGACACCTGGAGGATGGACCAGGGCCGCACCCTCGCCCCCGGCGTCGAGGAGCCCGCCGCAGCGCTCGGACGGGACAGGCTGCACGGCGTCCTCGACATGGTCGAGGGGGAGGGTTTCGACAAGCTCGACCTGACGAGGTGTGCGCTGGTCGGGGCGTCCGGGGTGATGAAGGGCTCGCACAAGGGCGCGGAGATCGATGGGCACACTGCCGTCATCAGGATCAACCGCCTGCCCAGGGGCGAGTACTACGCCGACTTCGGCGCAAAGACTGACTTTTTGTATGTCAGCCACGAGTGGTCGGGGGCCGTCTCTTTGATGGGTGGTGAAAACGCCAAGGTGATCAAGTGCGCCGACGCCGTCGGTTGTCCCAAGGCCGGGATCATTGCCCGCGGGGACCTTGTTAGGTGCAAGCCCAGCGAGATGGCTTCCAATTGGGGCCTCGACCATACCCTGGTGGGCTGCACGCACACGAACATATCGAGGATGGTTGCCACGGGATTTCACACTCTGCATGGAGCTTTGGCCACCACGGGCCTCCATGCGTTTTTCACGTTCCTGCCTGTGTGTGACGAGCTCAACCTGTACGGTTTCGGAGGTATAAGCACGGCAGACGGCCACTCGGAATGGACCAAAGGACACAATCTCTTCCAGGAGCACTTGATTCAGGACCACGTCATCAACAGGCAGTGGGGCTCGGTACCGTGGAGGAACAAGTTCAGAGAGTTCGATTGGATGAAGAGGGTCATGGGAAAGGTGAGGAAGGTGGTCGGCACGGTGGCGTGAGCTCCAGCATGAATACTTCAGCGTCCGTATCCTCTCTGTACGACATCTTTGCCCCCTTCCCCCTGGTCATTCAGCTCCAGACATTTTGTCTGCCGCTTCTGTGCGCCGATCGAGCAGCTTGGGCCGAGGGCCCAATGCATTAGCCCGACACCATACGCAGCGCGCCACAATAATATGAACTGCCGCAATACACAGCGTGCCACAATGTGAATCTTCAGCACCGATTATTTTTGCATGCCACAATATGCATCTCGCCATTTTGTGACATTCGCGAGCGAGCCACGTTTGCCGCGATGTTATAATTGGCACCGTGTGGCCATTGCTAGGACGCGTATGCACGAAGAGGGCATGTTCCTGTGGCGCTCGCGGCCAAAGTGTTTGCTGCCAGCTGCCCAGCCCGCCCTCTTGTGCGTTTCGCTCTATTTTTCTCTGCCTACCTTCGTTCTCCTCTACCGCATCCTTTCTTCGACCACCTGACCCCCGTAGTACTCCAGCCCCGCCGTGCCATTGGGAGGCCGTGGCGCAGAGGGCAAAGCCCGATGGCCAACAGCGATGGCCTCGATCTTTCTGTATAGTTGCCACTACGGGGCCATCAGCAGCGATCGACCAAAGGCTGGAGTTCATGCGCTGCGCGCAGTGGCGCAAGTGCAGAAAAAATGCTTCCCGCATTCCGCCGGCCCATAGTGCATCATGCTTGCCATGTGCCAGTATGCTCGCTGGCACCGGGAAGTTGCTGCGTGGTGGTAGTGTTCCCAAGTTGCCATGTGAAGCTCGCGCGAGGGAGAAGCGGTCCTTGGCACGTTGAGTTCAACCTTGAGGGCAACACGCTCGCACCCGATTCTCGCCATGAAAGCCCGAATGCACGAGCAGACATGTCTCAAAACCCCTTCGTGGGCTGTCGGAGCATCCTGGGGGACTGATCGGATTCTCGGGGAGACGTCAGGGGGCTCATGGGGTGGCCTCCTGGAGATTCATCCTGGGGCCTCCTGTGCCTAAGTGCGGTGGGCCCCACACTGGGGTTGCCGCGCGCCATTTTTGTTGGTTTTAAAAGAGAGGTTCTACCACCTTCCCCCCCCCCGGACTTATCGATTCCCCGGGAACCGATGCAAAACACATCTGATTCCGACCCAATGTCCATCCTACCTGTGAGTTCATATTGTTTAAGCCAAACCAGTATCAGCCCCCACTCGGTCCCATGGCAAAAAGTACTATGCGCGCACATTCGTTTGTCACATCATAATTTTTCGAGAATTCCTTGCAAAGAATGGGACGAAGTGCACACGCGCGCGTCGTCGCGCGAGCATGCCGCAATCCTTCAAAAACCTTCGGTTTCGGAAGGATTCCAAACTCGGATTGTCCTTCAAAAAAACATACAAAAGCACAGGACTTCGCAACACGAGTTGACAACAAAAGCGTGCGCGCGCTCTTGCGAATTCTTAAGAAGACCACCGGTTGTTCAACATTTGTGTTACGACATTCTGCCACACGGGCTTCGCGCGTGCATGTCGAATTCGCTCGAACGCCTTTGCGCGCGTGCTGGGGCGGCACGGTCCGCGTCAACAAATACCATGCGGGCCACTCGCGCGTCTGCCGCGCGCGCATTTCGAACTCCTCCCAAAACCTTCATCACCGACGCGAAAACGCCGTCATCGTCGTCGGCGTGATCAGCATCGGCGCCCGCAAAGGCCGCGCTTTCGTCGGTGCGAACATCGCCACCTGCATCGCTACCATCATCGTGTCTAGCATTGTCGGCGTTGCCATGATACCGCGCCCGCCCAAGTCGCCGACTCGCACTGAAGTGCCCGCTGGGCTGTGCCCAGCGGTCAGCGCCACTGCGTTCGCGTCGGTCGCGCCAAGCAAGTTGGCCGGTGCGCGCGCGAGCATGCGCGGGCTAGCACGGCCGCAGAGATGCACCAGCCAACACCAAGCACTCATCGCAATCGCTTCCGCATGCGCATTGCAAACCAATTTGCGGGTGGGTATTTGGGATGATTGCGTGAGCAGTTGAGTTGTCAACTTCAAGCTCGTCAAGAGAATTCTTCTTTAAAAGAAGAATAGACCCCCCCCCGGAGTTAACGGTCCCCCCTTTCGTAATGCAATGTACATATGATTCTGCCCCATCGTCCATCCGACCTGTGAGTTCATATTACCCCAGCCAACCAGTACCACTCCCCCCGCCATCCTCTGCAAAAGTACTATGCGCGCGCACTCGTTTATCAAAACTCATAAGTTTTCAAGAGCCCATGGTAAACATACCACAAAGTCATGACGCCCGCGCCCGTATCACAATCGTACCAAACACAATGTGTTTGCAAGCATTTCAGCATACAAAGCTAAAAAACCAAAGGGTTTTGCAACAACAATGTTGCAAATATGCTGTCCGTGCGCTCATATTTAAATCATATAAATCCAGCGATTTCTTATGAGTTCTGCCAAATCCAGCGATTTCATGTCACCGCGCGGCGCATCCGCGATACTCCTGTCATGCGCCGAGGGCGCGAACCCCTTGCAACATATTCCGCACGATCCACATGCGCGCACCGCCGCGCGCGTGATCAGTCCGACGTATTTGCTGAACTTCCGCGCGCGCGGATTTCTTTTCAACCTTGTCAGCATCACCGCGATCACCTGCCTCATCGAAAGGTGGACAGCAACATCGCCAACGTGTTTGCCATCTTTGACGCCGTTAGTGTTCGTGCCGTCGCCATGTTGAACATCGTCGTCGCCGGTGGCATTTTCGTCATTGTCGCAGACGTTGCCGGCGTCATCTTGTCATCGCGCACGTCCGAGTATCGTCGACGACTTCATGTTCAGCAGAGCATCGGCAGCGAGGGTGTTATCATCGATGTCGTAATCGGTGGCGCCGCCGTCCCCCGCATCATGACTTTTGCCAAAGAAGTTGCGGGTGGGCGGGAGGGATGCTTGCAAGAGCATGGGAGGCGGTCAGGCGTGGTACAGGGTAGTCACTTCTCCTTTCAAAGAAAAGAATAGATTCTACCCCCCCCCCCGGCGTTATCCCCCTTTTTCCGGGTATGTAAATCATATGTGATTCTGACCACATGTCCATCCTAAATATAAATCTGCATTATCCCAGGGGGTCCGGCATCGGCCCCCCTGAGGTTCCCTGGTAAAAACAATACGCGGGGACATCTTTTGTTCTAGCATAAGACTTTTTCGCGAATCCCCTGCAAAAATGGGACGAACTGCGCGCGCGCGTCATCGCGCGCGCGTGCCGAGACCCGAGGTGTCGGAAGGATTTCGCAATCGAGTTTCCAGCAAAACATAAACATACACCGGGTTTCGAAACCTGGATTTGCTTATAAAGCTTACGCGCGAGTTCTTGCGACATCTTAAGAAAACCATGGTTTTCTCAATATTTTCACAACATGCTACCAAACGGGTTTCGCGCGCGCATGTCGAAATCAGTCGAACGCCTTTGCGCGTGTGCCGTCGCGCGAATCCTTTGCAAAAAACGGGACGAATTGCAGACGCGCGCGACGTCGTGCGCGCATGCCGAAATCCTTCAAAACCCATATGTTTCGGAAGGATTTCGCAACCGGGTGTCCAAACAACCTACAAAAACACAAGGTTTCGCAACACGGATTTTCAACAAAAGCGTGCGCGCGCGCACTTGCGTCGTCGTCGTCGTTGTCGTCTTCCCTCCTCCCGCGTCGTCGTCGTCGTCGTCCCCTACGTCGTCCTCTGTCTTTCCTCGTGTTCGTCGTCGTCGTCCTCTGTGGCGTCGTAGTCGTTTCCGTCGTCGTTGTCGCCGTGGTCGTCCTTCCTCCTCTTCTCGTCGTCGTCGTCGTCGTTGTCGTCCGTCGTCGGCGTCTCGTCGTCGTCCCCCCTATTTCGTCGCCGTCGTCGTTGTCGTCGTTGTCGTCGTCGTCGTTTTCCCTCCTCCCTCGTCGTTGTCGTCGTCGGCGTCGCCGTCCTTCCTCCTTCTTCGTCGTTCGCATCGTCGCCGTCCTCCCTCTTCCCTCGTCGTTGTCGTCGTTGTCGTCGTTGTCGCCGTCGTCGTCCTCCCTACTCCTTCGTCGTCGTCTTCGTTGGCGACGTCGTCGTCGTCTTCGTCGTCGTCGTTGAAGTCGTTGGAAACGTCGTCGGTGTCGTCGTAGTCGATGTCAGCGGCGCCGTTGTGGTCGTCATCGTTGTCGCTGTCGTCGTCGGCGTCGGTGTCGTGGCCAAGTGCCATGTGGTACCTACCGTCACGGTCTTGTCTGAAGAGGTCTTGCGACCAAGTTGCGGGTGGGAGGGTGGGATGTTTGCGCGAGCAGTGGAGAGGACAGCTTCAAGACGGTCAAAGTGAATTGCACCACGTAGATTGCACCGCATAAATTGCACTGCGCAGGCTGCTCCGCGTAGATTTCATTTCTAAAAGGAGAACAGGGTTTCCCCCCCCCCCGGAATTATCGGCCCCCCTTGTCGCATTGCAATGTACATATGATTCTGCCCCATCGAACAAGGAGACGCAGTGCGCACGCGCGCGTCGTCGCGCGCTTGCCGAAATCCTTCAAAAACCCTTGGTTCCGGAATGATTTCAAAATCGAGCATCAAAAAATAACAAGCACCAGAAGTCTTGCAACGCGGATTTTCATAAACAGCAAAAAAAAGCGCGCCCGTGCGAATTCTCATGAAAACCGTAGGTTGTTCGACATTTTCAGAACATGCGACCAGACGGGCTTCGCGCGCGCGCAAATCGAAATCGCTCGAACGCCCTTGCGCGCGTGCCGTCGCGAGAATCCATTGACGCAAATGGGGCGGCGTGCACGCGCGCGCGTCGTCGCGCGCGCATGCCGGAATCCTTCAAAAACCCTGGGTTCCATGACGACTTCAAAACCGCATGTCCAAAAAACATTCAAAACCATCTGGTTCATCAACATCAGTTTTCAAAGGCTTGCGCGCGCGCTCCTGCGAATTCTTGAGGAATCCATCGGTTTAGAACGTGTTCGCGGAATTCTGCTAAACGGGCCTCTGGCGCCGCATGCCGACATCATTCG